TAAAGTTTTACTGGCATAAACACAGAATAGGCCATCATCTAAAAAACAGCCCTTCACAAGAAGGCTAATCACAGCTAAACAACAACACTCTGTTTCAGAAGAGAAATTTGAAGTCTTTCTTTCTCATTTGTTTAAGGTTGTCAAGCTCCTCCTAACTTTCCTCAGTGTTGTTCAGCCGTGTGTTTGGTTCGTGGTCTTGGTCTGGTGTTGTATGGCATGGTCACAGCGGGGAGAATGAATTGCTGGCAGACTCATGCTGTGCTCGTCCTGGTGGCTGTACAAGTGAGCTGGAATAGCGTAACATGGTGTGAGGCATCTTTTCCCTCAGTCATGTGTGAGCTCTTAAATGAGACGAATAGAAATTAAAAGATTAGTCATTTTGTATCACCATCTTGAGAGCGATTCAGTCGCTGAATGTCATCTACTCTTGTTATGCAGTAACAGACGGCTCTTTGCTGTCATATACGGTATCTAATAGGTTGGCAGAAGAGGAAATGAATCCTAATGTAAAATGATGAGTAAGTGAGTATTTGACTGAATGAATGAATGAATGAATGAGTGAGCAAGTGAATGGATGAATAAGTCAGGAAATGACTGAATAAATGTGTGATTATATGAATGATTGCATGGGTGAGTGAGTGAACGAATGGATGAATTTGTGATTGCATGGATGATTGAGTGCTGGTGTGAATCAGTCAGTGAGTGAAATAATTAATTAAGTAATTCAATAAGTCAGTGGGTGAATGAAAGGGTGAATGAATAAGTGACTGAATGAATCACTCTTTAAGTGGAAAAAAATGGATGAATGAATGAATGAGTAATTGAATGAATCAGTCAGTGAGTGAGAGATTGAACAATTATTTGATTGAATGAATCAGTCACTGAGTGAAAGAATGTATGAATAAGTAGATGATTGAAAGAATCAGTACTAAATTTGTAACTGATTGAATGAATCAGTCAGTGAGTGAAAGAATGAAGGAATAAGTAGTTGACTGAATAAATCAGTCAGTGAGTGAAAAAACGAATGAATCAGTAATCGATTGAATGAATCAAGCAGTGAGTAAAAGAATAAACAAATACGTAGTTGAATGAATGAATTAGTGAGTGAAAGAATCAACATGTAAGTAGTTGGCTGAATGAATCAGTACTAAATTTGTAACTGATTGAATGAATCAGTCAGTGAGTGAAAGAATGAAAGAATCAGTAATCGATTGAATGAATCAGTCAGTGAGTAAAAGAATGAACAAATCAGTAATCGATTGAATGAATCAGTCAGTGAGTAAAAGAATGAACAAATAAGTAGTTGATTGAATTAATTAGTCAGTGAGTGAAAGAATGAACAAATAAGTAGTTGATTGAATGAATCAGTCAGTGAGTGAAAGAATCAACATGTAAGTAGTTGACTGAATGAATCAGTGAGTGAAAGAATGAACTAATCAGTAATCAATTGAATTAATCAGTCAGTGAGTAAAAGAATGAACAAATAAGTAGTTGATTGAATTAATTAGTCAGTGAGTGAAAGAATGAACAAATAAGTAGTTGATTGAATGAATCAGTCAGTGAGTGAAAGAATGAAGGAATAAGTAGTTGACTGAATAAATCAGTCAGTGAGTGAAAAAACGAATGAATCAGTAATCGATTGAATGAATCAAGCAGTGAGTAAAAGAATGAACAAATATGTAGTTGATTGAATGAATCAGTCAGTCAGTGAGTAAAAGAATGAAAAAATAAGTAGTTGATTGAATTAGTCAGTGAGTGAAAGAATCAGCATGTAAGTAGTTGACTGAATGAATCAGTCAGTGAGTAAAAGAATGAACAAATCAGTAATCGATTGAATGAATCAGTCAGTGAGTAAAAGAATGAACATATAAGTATCTGGTTAAATGAATCAGTCAGTCAGTGAAAGAATGAATGAATCAGTCAGTGAGTAAAAGAATGATCAAATCAGTAATCGATTGAATGAATCAAGCAGTGAGTAAAAGAATGAACAAATATGTAGTTGAATGAATGAATTAGTGAGACAGACGGCTCTTTGCTGTCATATACGGTATCTAATAGGTTGGCAGAAGAGGAAATGAATCCTAATGTAAAATGATGAGTAAGTGAGTATTTGACTGAATGAATGAATGAATGAATGAGTGAGCAAGTGAATGGATGAATAAGTCAGGAAATGACTGAATAAATGTGGGATTATATGAATGATTGCATGGGTGAGTGAGTGAACGAATGGATGAATTTGTGATTGCATGGATGATTGAGTGCTGGTGTGAATCAGTCAGTGAGTGAAATAATTAATTAAGTAATTCAATAAGTCAGTGGGTGAATGAAAGGGTGAATGAATAAGTGACTGAATGAATCACTCTTTAAGTGGAAAAAAATGGATGAATGAATGAATGAGTAATTGAATGAATCAGTCAGTGAGTGAGAGATTGAACAATTATTTGATTGAATGAATCAGTCACTGAGTGAAAGAATGTATGAATAAGTAGATGATTGAAAGAATCAGTACTAAATTTGTAACTGATTGAATGAATCAGTCAGTGAGTGAAAGAATGAAGGAATAAGTAGTTGACTGAATAAATCAGTCAGTGAGTGAAAAAACGAATGAATCAGTAATCGATTGAATGAATCAGTCAGTGAGTAAAAGAATGAACAAATCAGTAATCGATTGAATGAATCAGTCAGTGAGTAAAAGAATGAACAAATCAGTAATCGATTGAATGAATCAGTCAGTGAGTAAAAGAATGAACAAATCAGTAATCGATTGAATAAATCAATCAGTGAGTAAAAGAATGAACAAATCAGTAATCGATTGAATGAATCAGTCAGTGAGTAAAAGAATGAACATATAAGTAGCTGGTTAAATGAATCAGTCAGTCAGTGAAAGAATGAATGAATCAGTCAGTGAGTAAAAGAATGATCAAATCAGTAATCGATTGAATGAATCAAGCAGTGAGTAAAAGAATGAACAAATATGTAGTTGATTGAATGAATCAGTCAGTCAGTGAGTAAAAGAATGAAAAAATAAGTAGTTGATTGAATTAGTCAGTGAGTGAAAGAATCAGCATGTAAGTAGTTGACTGAATGAATCAGTCAGTGAGTAAAAGAATGAACAAATAAGTAGTTGATTGAATTAATTAGTCAGTGAGTGAAAGAATGAACAAATAAGTAGTTGATTGAATGAATCAGTCAGTGAGTGAAAGAATCAACATGTAAGTAGTTGACTGAATGAATCAGTGAGTGAAAGAATGAACTAATCAGTAATCAATTGAATTAATCAGTCAGTGAGTAAAAGAATGAATGAATAAGTAGTTGATTGAATTAGTCAGTGTGTGAAAGAATGAACAAATAAGTAGTTGACTGAATGAATCAGTCAGTGAGTGAAAGAATGAACAAAGAAGTGATTTAATTGAATCAGTCAGTGAAAGAATGAATGAATAAAGTTTTTATGCAGGATATTAATTATAAATTTTCAATTCATATAAAAAGTCAAATTTAAAAGTCCTAAACTGAATTATAAATGCTGTGAAATGTAATTAGAAAATAAATGTACCGTATTGTCCCGAATATAAGACGATGTTTCTTTCTTGGAAATACATCTGAAAAAATGCGGTCGTCTTATATTCGGGCCAATACGGTACTTTGGGTTTATTAGATGTGTCTTTTCATATTAGTTTTATATAGTTGTCTTGTAACTGTTGCATTTTATTCCCACATACAGTCACGTACAACCCACACCTGTGACTAAATAAACTCAATAAAATTGTCTCAACTCCTTTTCATTGGGTTTATTTTAGTCACAATTCTTGCAGTGCTGGAAGCAGCCGCGCAATAACTTGTGAGTGAATTTCCCTATCCGCTTCCTGTAAAGGAATGTATCAATGTTCCCTTATTCCCTATGACATTTGTAGTGTTCTTCAAACTGAACATGAAAGCAAGATGGTGGAATACCCTATAAAGTCCACTAGTGTGGAATGGAACACCTCTTGACTAATTGAATAAATTATTGAGTGAGTGAAAGAATGAATGAATCAAAGAATAAGTGATCGGATGAATCAGTAAGTAAATGAGTGATTGAAGGAGTAAATGAATGAGTTATTGGGTGAATAAATTAATGTAAAAGTGACTGGATGAATAGGTGAGTGAGCCAAATGATGGATGGATGGAGTGTTTGAATAATTGAGTCAGTCCATATTTGAGTGCCAGTCTCAGATAAATAGACATCCCCATCCTCGGTGCTGGTCTGTGGCCAACTCTCCTTGATACAGTCCAGTATTCACCACTAACATAACTAATCCTTTCATTAAATCAAGCCTCCCACTAACCTATAAAGGGCTAATTGTGTGGTGAGTCAGCACACACACACACACAAGCACTCACACATATTCAGAGAATCCTACATCTCTTTACATTCTCTTTTTTTCACGCTATATCTTTTACCACCACAGTTTTCCAGCTTCCTAACACAGTGTTTCTGTGTTTTCCCCCAGTCACAGATACACATGTGTTTGTGACTGCATGCATATGTGCGTGTTTGCGTGTGTGTGCGTGTATGAATGTTCGGCCTCTCGTGTGTGTTTGCTCAAACTTACAGTGCGGCTGTTCATCCCCAGTCTGAGTTGTCTGGCGTGTTCCCATAAGACTGCTTTTAACACACATCTCTTATTTTCACACATCAGTGACAGCACTGTTCTCCTGCACTGGAGCCGTCCCAAAATGCTTTGCTTGGCTGCGTAGGTCCTGTATTTAGACCTTTAGGTAACTTTAAAATAAACACAGTGTGTTTGCTAACTAGATAGACTGACTTGAACCCTATGCCCTCACCTCATCATCATGTAACAGCTCAATTTTGTCTTTTTAATGGTATGATAACACCAAGCTATCAGTGTTGATGTATTTTGAAGTCTGGCTGATTAACATATAGGAGACCTTCATCTGCCTACGAATCTGGTTCTAAAGAACATAATCAGTTTAATCTCCTTTTTTGTACCTTTTTCTAGATAGACCTGGGAAGATTAGAAGCAACACCTGATGAAACATGCATAGGACTCTGAATAGATTAAGGACGTCATACAGACTGCCTCTTTGGACTTTTCAACAACATTGGACCGTTGTATGAAGTTAAAAGAAACGGATGGCAAATGACTAGCCTCCAAACTAGATTTTATGGACCATAGCCATGGACGTCTAATGGCTAAACCTTCAAAGAATGGTTTCCTCTTTTGGGTCATTGGGAGCGCTGTAGAATGGAGGATCCATTCCAGACATTCTCTCAAGGGTCTGTCACGCTACCTTCAAGAAGAATGAGCAATTTTCACCAGATGGATATGCGCATGTCGCTACTGAACTGGTCTAATGGTTCATTTATCTGGACGGAGAACTAATAGGACCCTGAAGAAGAGGAAGTGGCCGTAACTTGACCCATGACAAAGTATGTGCATGAAGAGCCAGGCTGAAGCGGATGAAATGGCAATCGACAGTAAAGTTTTGAACAAAACTTGCTTTGTGGTCTACACCTGGGAAATATGAGACTTTAGTTGACAGACAAAACATAAACAGTTCTTCTTCGTTTTAATCAAAGACATACCCTAGTGACTTCAACAAGTGGTTCTGGTATGGGCGGCAGTTGGCTGATCTGTTTGTCTTGTTTTTGATGGTACGCAGAGATGCCCCAACTTTCTTGAACTGCGTCATCCTACCCACCTTGTTGTTGAGGTTGTCAGCTGTGATGCTGCGCAGGGGTCTTCTGGCCTGGCTCTCACGTGTGGGTGTTCTGTTAGTGGTGGTGTGCTGTTGTCTTTCCCTCCTTTATGTCATCACTTGCAGCCCCCATGCTGATGAGCCCATGGCTGGGCAACCCCTGCCCAGGGCTGGAGGGATGGCTATGCCAGGAGGTCCAAGCAGGCCAGGTGGGGTTGGAGGTGCCCCCATCGGCCCTGCCGGACGGGAAGGGTTCCAAGCCCTTCTCCAAGAGTGCGAAGAGCAGCACCGGCAGCATATTACCAGCTTGAAAAAACAAATTGCTCAACTCAAAGAGGCTCTCCAGGAACGGAGCGAACAACTTAAAGGCATGCAGGACTCTGTGGAGAAGATGGCTGGGAAGGGGACGGTGGGCGACGTGACTGACGACCACAGTCACAGCGACCTGCAGGAGTTCCTACGCAGCCAGCTGAGCCGGGCGGAGGTGCACTCTGGGGTAAGACTTCCGAGTGAGTACGCCGTGGTGCCCTTTGAGAGCTTCACCTTACAACGCGTCTACCAGCTGGAAATGGGGTTGACCCGTCACCCCGAGGAGAAGCCGGTGAGGAAGGACCGCAGGGACGAGCTGGGGGAGGTGGTGGAGAGTGCGCTACATGCCCTCAATGCGCCAAATCAAGGTGGAGACAAAGCGAAAGCCAGCAAAGTCTACACACCATCAGACTTTATAGAAGGTAAGAGTAACAATTATGCAGTTAACCAGTATTTGCTTCCACTATGCTAAAAATCAGTGCTTCAACAGTATCTAGTGTACGACCATGCAAGAAAATACAGTGGCATATTATTTTAAGGTCCAATTCTCACTATTAACCTTTAACTATAAATTACACTAATTGTAAACTATGACTATGATTAAACTTTTGCCTCCTAATTTGCTCCTTATTAATAGTTAGAAAGCTAGTTGTTAAGTTTAGGTATGGGGTTAGGATTAAAGGGACAGCTTTCTGACCCTGCATTGACAACAAAAAACCATCGCGGTACTCTCGTAAATTGCGTCTGAAACTGACCTGGAAGAGAAGAAATCGTTGAATAAGGTCATTATTTTTATTTTATATACACAAAAAGTATTCTCGAAGCTTTGCAAAATTATGGTTGAACCACTGATGTCAGATGGACTATTTTAAAGATGTCCTTAATGCCTTTCTGGGCATTGAATGTGGTAGTTGCGTTGCTGTCTATGCAGGGTCAGAAAGCTCTCGGATTTCATCAAAGATATCTTAATTTGTGTTCCGAAGATAAACGAAGGTCTTAAGGGTTTGGAATGACATGAGGGTGAGTAATTAATTACAGAATTTTCATTTTTGGGTGAAATATCCCTTTAAGGGATCTAGTCATGCAGAATAAAGCATTAATGTGCATTATAACTACTAATAAGCAGCCAATATACTACTCATATGCATGCTATTAACAAGGCTGTGAGGGATGGAGGTACTGTGTGTTCAATGGATTGTACTGTTGTTTAACAACATACCGATTGTTCAGCTGATGAAAAGTCTTTACTTTTTTGTCTTTGTGAAGACAAAAACTCAATAAAATAGTTTGGCAAATTGTGAATTGTGAAAATGATGTTCTCTAGGACCTTTATACAGTGTGTGCCATTGTAAAGACTGTAAGTCTATCCCTCAGCCTTGTTTTCATCCACGTTAAATTCAGTATGGTGTTTAACCTGACTAAGGTCTATAGACAGCCAATATGTAAACATTAAAATACTCACTGTTTCAATAGAACTATATAGCGACAAGATGCGTGTTAACATGAATTTAGTGTGACAGCTTGCATGGTGTAATTTGAAAGTGGGTTGGAAAGGATGGTAGGAGGTTTTTGGTAGCCTGTTTGGAAACATTATTTTTGCTATTTCATTTAGTGCTGCTAGAGCCGAGATGACACACTTCACCTCTAATAGGGCTTCACAGAAAAACTCTGCATGTCCCTGGACCATCGATAAAGCCCAGAGCTTGTCTGACATATTTAGAGAAAAGCTCTCAAAATAATCTCTGAAACACGTTGAAAGAGTTGTACAGTGTGTTTCTTGTATCCTCAGAACCAAATCAGCAAAACAATAGAGCATCCTGTAGCAGTATGCTAACACGCTAAAGCCAGGATATCCTGTGATGACTCTAGGAAATGTACACAGCTGTTTCATGTTCAGAGTTGTCTCATCTCTGCCGTTTCTTCCAGAGAGAAAGTGACGCATCTCACTGGTTATTGGCATTACAGGAAATACATTATTCATGTTGCTATGCACCTTGTTTAGTCATAAATAACTGTTCTCAGCACCAGAAACTGAAATGCTAGAAATTAGCTATGGCGAAATTTGCATGAACAAACTTTCTACAAGACTAGGTGACAGCAATGATGGTTAGCTAAGCTGAAAACAGAAGGTGAGATTTACATGAACGTAACAAACAACTGCTGAATTTTCATGCTAGATTATGCTGGTTTATTGCTGGTGTTTACTTGCAAAACAAGCTTCCAAAACACAACATAAACCTTAATCCTGGTTTTTATACGAGAATATATTAGGAGGAGTGCTGCATAATATTAATTTCTCACTGTCTAATACACTAACGGTCCTCAGTTATTTGTTATTTGGTGCATCTTCAACTCTTTGCCCGCTAGCGTTTTTTGTGTGTTGCCAGCCACCACCAGCATTTTTTATCATTTTCACAAAAATTTCATATTCCCCAGAATATTTTGCTGTCTGAATATCTGAACATGCAATATGTCAAAAGACAGAACCTTGCCTCTGGTTTTAAATTTAAGTCTTATATTACTGGGTCGACATTTCATTCGCTAACGTTACGCAGTTAGCAGCACGCAGTTGATTTATATGCTGTTTAATGTTTATTGATCGCGTTATTTTACATGCTTCTGTTTACATATGAGATCACTTGTTTCTGCTTCTTCTTCACAGTGTTTTGATCCAAAGATTCAGTACTCTTTCTGAAGATGTGTAATATGCCTCCTACTGAATAAGAGTAAAAAAATGAAAATTCTGTCAATGGTGGGAAAAAGAGTTAAATAAAAGACAATTACTTCTCAATTCGAGCCTCCTCTTAGCTCTTCTGTATACCCGAATAGACCCACTCTACTTCACATCAGCAATGGAGAGTTTGTGAAAAAGAGAGCCAAGGCCATGTCTGTAATAATTTACAACTCGGTGTCCAGACACAATGTCAATTTACCCAGCCGTCTTGCTAACTGAACGAGACTGAATAATATTGTTGGACATTCTAAAAATACTCAGTCCTGAAACAACACAGGAAGCTTGACCATTACACCCGAAACGGTGCTTCAGCAAACAGGAATGTTTACAGAAAGCGTATCTTTTCTACCCACAAAATAACTCTCCCACCCCGTCCCTCAATGGATGCATGTATCTCTCTCATTATCCTCTGCTGGCTAACTAGTGTTCCTTTACCCAGACCAAGTTTGTGGTGACACAATCCAATTTAGAGAGGAAAAAAGATCACAGTTCATGCTAAAAGTGCAGTTTTACCGTGAGCTAATATTACCCGTGTTCAGTAACTCACGTGATTTTGTTGTGCGAAGAACAGTTGCGTCTTAATTACCGTAGCTAGTTTTTCAATGAGGTGGAGTCGAGCCTGCGGGTTACGCTTTGATGTCTTTGCCATTAGTAGCCTGTATTGATTCAGATGGCTTCCCTAATGGCCCTGCTTTTCCCATAAATGCATTTTATGTGTGGGATGGAAAGGGCTGGACGTGAGATTTATTCCAGTTTGCTAGTTTGTGAAGGCAAGCATCACTACTGTTGCTGCTTAGGGTTAGGGATTTGGACAAGCTTGTACAGAAACATTGTAAACACAGTTTAGAACACCATAGCAACTTTTCCACAAATTTATTAGAAATTAGATGCACATATTTCCCAGTGTAGATCAAAATGCAGTGTTTCCACACTGTGCTACCAAAGCTAATGAAGTATGAAGCTGTGAAGTATGTTTTTCTTTTGTTTCCTCAACATGATCGTCCCTTAAGCAATTGGGAATGTTTCGTGCAAACCTTGTATGAGCGTGTTTTTCCTCTATAGTAAGAGTCTTTGTGCCTTTTATAGCACCAGCAAAAACACTGATATGGGACCTGAACAATGCACATTTGATGCTGTACAGTACAGATCTCTCATTTTTTTGGATAATTTTCAGAAGCATGAAAGTACTGAGTGAAATCCTGTTTTTCACCGTCTCCATGCATGCATGGCCATCTTCCAGATGCTTTTAGTGTAAGTTATAACCAGGGATGTTACCCAAGCCTCAGATTACCTGGTGCTTCTGATATCTAAAAATCCCATATCATAATTCCATGTCTCAGCATAGCTCATATCATTTGATCTTCAAAGAATTTTATGAGAAATGCATGAGTTCAAACTGAAATCTGACTTTTCATTGCAAACTTTGCAAACAAGCAGGAGACTTCAACGAACATCTCCATATGTTCTCCATTCAGTGCACTGCTGTTTAGGAGAGACAACCAAGATTAGGGCTGCACTTTTAATTGTATTCAATTGTGATCACAAGTTCTGCTTCTCTCGATTAATTAAGCATTATTATTTGTGACATTGGCCTTCTGGTTATTTATCCAGATTTTTTCCTTTAAAGGGGTCATATGATGCGATTTCAATTTTTCCTTTCTCTTTGGAGTGTTACAAGCTCTTGGTGCATAAAGAAGATCTGTAAAGTTGCAAAGACTAAAGTCTCAAATCCAAAAAGATATTCTTTATAAAAGTTAAGAGTCAGCCACACCCTCCTAAAACGGCTCGTTCTAACACGCCCACACATTTCTACCTCACTATGTGGGAAGATTTGAATAACGCCGCCCAAATGTTCACGCAAAAAAAGAAGGCGTAACTTTTATTCTCGATGTAGTTTTGTTGTTTCCGCCGCCATGTCGTAAAGACGCTGTGTGCTTCGTTGTGAAAG